ACTTCGGCTCGCTTCTCTTGTATTTGGAAATCTAAGGTCCCTCCTAAGATCAAGATTTTCCTCTGGCAAGCCTTCCGAGGTCGCCTTCCTTCTGCTGATCAGATCAAAAAACGCAATGGGCCGGGCTCGGAATTCTGTAACTTGTGTGGGGCTTTGGAAAACTCTAATCACATCTTTTTCAACTGTGTTCTTGCCAAATTAGTTTGGTCTTGCGTAAGATCATGGCTTCGGGTCTCCTGGGATCCCTCCTCTTTCGCAGACACTAGAACCCTAGCCAAATCTCTGGTAGGGGTCACCAAGAGGGTATTCTGGGTTGGCTTGGGAGCCTTATGTTGGGCTCTTTGGACCATTAGAAACAAATTTACTATTGAACTTACCTTCCCATCTAAGCCTGCTGACGTTCTTTTCAAATCATGTATATTCTTGCAGCAGTGGAGATTATTGACTAAGGAGCCAGATCGGGACGCCCTGGACCTGCTCATTGCCAAAATTTGGGCTTCAGCCTCAGATCTCCGGGACGAATCATGGCGTATAAGCCTGGTGCTGTAGTTTGCGGGATTAGGTCTCCTTCTCTCCCCGGCCTGCGTGCCGTGTTTGGCAGCTGCTTGTTTCGTTAGGAATTTGGGCCTATTTAACTTCTCTTTGTGTTTCTGAGACTGTGTGAACCTTGGGTATTCGTGACGCTGCCATGTGGCTTTATTTATAAAGTCGGGCTTTGGCCTTTTCTCTAAAAAAAGGGTTGAAGGCCTATCATTCAAACACGGACATTGGTTTTGGATTGGTTCTTAATTTTGACTTGGTCTACATTATTTTCAAGGAGCTCTTTCATCCAAGTGAAGTGTTCAATTTTATTTTATTTTTCATGATTTTGACTAGTCAATGCTTTCTCAAATAAATCAACAACAACCAGCTTATAAAAATACACCAGTCTAGTGCACACTCTCATCATGTAACGAAAAATAAATGTCAATATGCAACACTATTGCAGCAATATGATTTTGAGTCCCCAGTTTTTGACTCTGTAACAATTTCTCAAGGAGCTCCCTCATCAAGTGATGTGTTCAATTTTCAATATGGTTTGCGATTTTGACTTGCCAATGATTTCTCAAATCAATCTGTAACAACCAGATTATAAAAATACATTAGTCTTGCTCCCTCTTATCACCTAAAAAAATACCAACATGCGACACTATAACACCAATACATTAAATGTGGTCACCATTGCAAGACACTTCCCTGCATACATGTGGATTAATTTGCAAATAACACATAACTATACCTCCAGAAGAGGCAATAAAAATATCGTATTATGAAAAAGAAAACACAATTCATTACCCCCACCAAATAATTGATTCTATTTATGAAATCCTAACAACACCAAATAATACATGAGATCACGATTGCACGTTGCCGCGCCCATCCATGTTTGATGCATTTATCTAATATGTTATAAGCATATAATACAATAAAGACGGAATATACGATTTGTACGTTTTATATGGTTAAACTATAATTTTTAAAATAGTCACACGTGTCAACTATGTTCCATATCTACTGTCCCGAAATGATAGGAAATTGTACAACCTATTCTCTTGGTTTTTAGAAAACATTTTAGTATAATTTGCATGCGTATGCTTCTTCTTTTTTGAACTGCACATGCGTATGTTTTCTTTCTTCTAGCCAAGTGTGTAGCACAAAATCTGTTTAGAGGTGGAAACAGTTAAGTTTAGTGTCCACTCGAAGCAAGCACATAAATCAATCAGGACATCTTATGCTCGCTTCAAAAGTAGTAGAGGTATAAGACAGGGATGTCCCCTGTCCCCTTATCTCTTTGTTCTTGCAGTGAATGAGCTCTCGCCAACCCAACCAGAATCTTTACAAGCCAACCACCTATCATGTATCTCTTTTGGATCAAACTGCCCTGCAATTCATTCTCTAATGTTTGCTGATTATTTGTTGGTTTGTGGAAAGGCTAATGTGCAGGAAGCTTTGGCTATCTCCAACATTTTAGATTAATTTTGTCATGCTTCAGGTCAAGTTCCAAGTGGAATAAATCTTCCATTTTATTTAGCAAAAATGTGCCTTTGCAGGTGAAGCGGGATGTCAAACAGATCTTCAGGTTCCAGATTCAGATAACACCACTATCCACCTTGGTCACCCTCTTATTCTTCCTGCTAAAGACAAATCTGCTGCTTACAACTGTGTTTACGACAAATACAAGAAAAAATTAACTGCCTACAAAGCTAACAGGATCTCACATGCTGCTAGGCTTACCCTCGATAAATCTGTCTTTGCCTCTATACATGTTTATTACATGTCTAACATTTTTCCCAAAAAATACCTTGCAAAGCTCACGTCTATGATCATGTTTTTATGGTGGACAGGACTTAAAGATGAGGCTATCACAAAAAGCTTGTGTCTACGGGCATGGACTGACATTTGCATAGAAAAGAAAATTGGTGACTAGGAGTTAGAAATTTGCAAGCTGTAAATCAAGGTCTTATCCTCTCGGCTGCATGGATGTTAGCTAGAGAATCATAGAGCCAACTTGCGTTAATCCGCAAAGCCAAGTACTATCATGATACTTCTATTTGGAGAGCAAAGTCAGACAAGCCTAAATATGCTTTTTGGGCTGCCATCCTCAAGGTAAAACCACTTTTAACTTCAGTAGTTTTTTTTACCAAATTATTGATGGTAGCAGTTTTATATTGAGTACTTGGTTCCACGGGTGGGAAACCATTTACGAAAATCTTACCATTCAGACTCCACCCTTTGTTTATCCTGATATAGTAAGGATCTTTGGCTACCTAACCAAAAGGCTTGGAATGCATAATTAGTGATTTCTCTGTTTAGCTCTCAAACAGCCAATGCTATCCTTCAAACTCCAATTATAAATTCAGATGGGCGGCACATTTTGCTGTAGAAAATAACCCCTGCACGTGACTGTACCTCTAAGAGTCCGTACAAGCAATGTTTCAACCATCTCGCCCTGCGTGCAAATCAGCAACCCAGTGTGGTCTCTTCACAGATAATATCTCTTTTAAATCAGGTTTGGTAGGTGAAATCCATGGCGCCTCGGGTACAAACTTTTGCCTAGAGGCTTCTTCAAAAGGCACCCCCACAGATAAACGTGCAAGTAAATTTTCGAACCATATTGAGCCCGAGTGGCTATTTGGGAAATGAAATGCATAGGTTCTTTCTTTGCCCTCTAAATTTGCATGGTATTGTCATCCTTGGTATACTAAAACTGAAGTTCTTGCTGCCTCTCACCGTTATGTTCATGACATGATACAAGCTCTACTTTCATCAGGTCATCCTCAAATCAATATCATAAAGCTTGTACACTTTCTTTGGTGCCTTTGGAAAGCAAGAAATGATTGTCTCTTTGACAAGAGGTGTCTAAGGCCTGCCCAGGTTTTTGCTATTTCTAATGCTATTGTTTAGGGATCAAAAATTGAAGACTCAACCCTCTATGGAGATCAACCTCCAAAAACTACAACTGACACGCATCGGGCTCATGTTACCGGACCTATGGTTCAAAATTTTCTTGTTTTGTAGGTGACACCATCTTCTGTGATGTGGCTTGGAAGACAGATCAGAATACGCACCCAACTCCAGCAGGCATCGACCTCTTCATCGAGGTGGACAGCAACCAACACTTCAAGCGGCTTTATGTCTCGGCCTTGTCTCCTCCAGCTACTTCACCACTCCAGGCTAAGGCCTTCGCCTTCTTCTTGCCACCAAGCTAGCAGAGATTTTACAACTGCAAGAGCCCGTCTTCAACACTGATTGCTATGTTTTGGCATCAGCGGCGGCATCAAGCAATATGATGAATGCACCAGGTCACTTGATAACCAGACCTCTTCTAGCGGATATACACGCCAACGCTTCCTTCCAAGCCAATAGGATCTCACGTATTCACAGGAACTCAAATGTCAAAGCACACACCAAGCAAGATTAGCAGGGAAAATCCAGCCTACAAGATTGACAATCACGTGCTTATGTCCAAACATAGGTCTGTGTCCAGGAAGGGACATTCTCTGTGTATCTAGCGTGTCACCATTCATGCTACTTTATGTAAAATGTTCTTAAAAGTAATAAAACTCCTTATGTTCAAAAATAAAATAAAATCAATCAAGCCAAGAATTGGAGGCCTAGTCACATCTCTCTGGTCCCATTAACCAAAGAGTTGTGTGGTTGCTCCTAGCTCGCTCCATTTTACCGTTTTTTAAACACAGTATATACATAGACGCTATTGTACTGTTTTTTAATTATTATGAGTAATGAGTCCACCGAAATATGTGATGTCCGATGACATCAAGTTGTTGGAACATGGTTATAAACTCTACACTTTGAACACATAAAATATATTGTTTTACCGGAATTTGTATTAAATAACAACCTATTAAATAAATGGTTTGTTTAGGACACATCTAGATGTGACATAGTTATGTCACATCTAAACTGATGTCCACTGTATTTGTGGTCTTTTTTTTTGTCCTAATTTTTTTTGTTTCTTGTTGTTGCATTATATATTTGTGGGAGCTTAGATGTGACATCCTTAAAAAACATCTAGATGTGAATTAGACTAACTGTTAAATAAAGCCCTGCATGTCTTGACGTGAGAGCATGTTTGGTTGATTGCCTGAATTTTCATAATGTGTACATTTGCCATTTTTTCGTTCTCAAGAAAATGGTGTTAATTCAGAATTCTTCTAGTCACGCGTTTGCAAGTTTTGATAGGTCTGAAGGCCGAAGTGCGGTATGGCTTGGATTTGGCTCAAAGGATATTTTGGACGTTATGCACCGTGATTGTAAACGCAGATTGAGTACCACAAGAATTATTTAGAAGAAAACAATGGTGTGTGATGTTGATTGCTTTATTGCCCAGCGGCAAGCACACTAGAGAAAGCAAATCGCCCATAACCGAGTAGTTTATTCCTTGCAGATGAACCTCTGTTGCCTCGCGCAGCACACCAGATCCACAATTATCTTCATCCATGGCCATCGATCGTGGTACATCAAGCAGCACGAATCGTGAAGCTGTGGTCTCCCGATCGTTCTGGAAGGCTCGAGGCCCCAACCCAGTTCACCATCCCCTCCCCCAAGAAAGCTTTCCCGCTCCTCCTTTACAAAACCCCCCACCATTTCGCACCCCCTCTCCCTCGCCGCAAGAATCCAAAATCATCACAGCAGAGAGAGAGGGAAAGAGGAGAGAGAAAGAGGAGAGAGAGACCATGGCCTCCGCCGTCGTTTGCAAGGGCGAGGGTGCCGCGCCGGCCAGCCTCCTCAAGTCCGCTGCTCCCGTGGCCTTCTGCCCGCTCCGCTCCCCCGCCGTCACCGCCGCCCGCTGCCCGTACAACACCCAGGTCAAGGAGGTCAGCCGCTACGACGACGACAACGACGACGACCGCGACCTCGTCATCCCCAGCTTCTTCTCGCAGGGTATGCTTCCGTTCCCCACCTGTGGTGCGCCGTTTCCTTGCGTTCGTTCTGAAGTCTCAACATCGTGAGTCAAATCGGCGTTCTGATCTGCTTTTGGTGTCCTCGGTGTTGATTCTGCAGACGTGCTCGACCCGCTCGGCGCGCCGACCAGCATGGCCCGTCTGCTGTCTCTGATGGAGGACGTCGCAACTAAGACCGGCGGCCTCTCCTCCACTGCTGGTGCTGGGGCGTCGCGGCTCGGACGGTGGGTGGCCAAGGAGGACGACGACGCGGTGTACCTCAAGGTGCCGATGCCGGGGCTGACCAAGGAGCACGTGAAGGTGCGCGCGGACAAGAACATCCTGGTGATCGAGGGCGAGGGCGAGAAGCAGCCCTGGGACGGCGACGACGACTCCGCGGTGCCAAAGTACAACCGCCGCATCGAGATGCCCGCTGCTGACGCGTACAAGATGGACAAGATCAAGGCCGAGATGAAGAATGGCGTGCTCTGGGTCACCCTGCTCAAGGTCAAGGAGGAGGAGCGCACGGACGTCTTCCACGTCAAGGTCGAGTAGGCAGTGCCGTCGTGGTAGTGCTCATGGAGGATGGCCGACGCGAGAGTGTGAGAGACGCCTTGTTGATGTGGGCATGTTTGGTGTCTTTCTCCTTGTTTTGCTTCGTTGATCGTCTTGGACCCAGTAGGTAGTGGTCTGATGGTGAAGTTGGTCGCGAACTCTGTCAAATTTGCTCTAGTTTCGGCATATGATGAACTTGCTTTGGTGGTGAAATTGGTCATGAAATTCTGTTGATTTCCTCAAGTTTGGCATATGATGAACTGATTTGGTGGCGAATTTGGTCATGAAACCTTGTTGATCTTCTAAGTTTGGCGTGCTGGACTAATTTGGTGGTGAAATCGATCAAGAACTGTGTTGATTGTCTTAAGCCTTTTTATCTTTTCCCGTCCTTGATCTGTATTGCTTTAAGCTTTCTGTAAAAGGCTGGTCATTCATGCCAACTCTCTGAAAATTTGACTGGTCTCCTCGAGTTTGACGTCATGGAGTTGGTGAACTGGCAGTTACAGGTTTTGATGATTTTTGCTTGCTGTTCCGTGAATTTTTTGTGCTTATCCTTGAAAAAAAATTGTGGATTTTTTGCTTGTCTGATCTCCTCGAATTTTGTGTGCTTATCCTTGAGTTTAACTTTTTTTAAGAAATGTAATTGTTCCAGTTTGTAGTTGTAGGGTTTTTGCGTGAACAGTCACATGGGAATGGGATTTGTTTGTAGTTGTAGTTGTAGGGTTTTGTGCTTCGTTGATTTACTCGAGTGTAATGTGATAGAACTGATTTGGTCGTTCCCTGAATGTTTTGTGTTTATCCTATTTGTTTATTTCTTGATATTATCACCTGTACTCTCGGGAAGGTGTTGCGCAATCCAGGCCATCTGTTTGGTTTTAAAAGGACACAAAATGCGGTCCAACACGCGAGTAAATGAACAAACGTTCGTTTTTTGTCCCGCTTTCCACTCATTCTCAGTCAAATTTGGGTTGTGTTTGCGTCGAAACGGACATGCACGGACGGGTGGGACGCGTGCCCTTGTCCTCCCCTGGCCCGCCCGTTGGTGACACAAACGCTTGTTTTTCTATTCCCCTTCCCTTCGCCCCTACGTCGCCGCCATTTTTCTCGGCCACCTCGCTGTCCAGCCCGGCCGCCCTCGCCCCAAACCCCTGCCATAGCTGTCGCCATTTTCTCGGCCACCTCATTGTCTAGCCCGACCGCCGGATTTGAGTGCCTCCGGCCACAGGAGGCTACGCCTTGCCATGGGTTAGTCGGGTACCGGACCACGCAGCCCCGGCAACTGCCGCATGCTGATATTGACTCCGCCTCTAGCCGCTCAGATCATTATCGTCGGAGGTTCACCGGCAAATAGACGCCCGGCCCTTGTCCGGACTAGGTGCTGGCCCTGCGGCTCGTCGACTCACCGTTGCCACTCATAAAATGCGGACTGCCCAGGGCAAGTCATGCGCCGCGTATCTACAACGTCAGAACATCCCAGATGGGTGTTTATCAAGTGCAAAAATGATGGGGTATATGTTTGTTTTGCTTCGGTTGTGCTTTCGGATTCTGCGCATTTTCGATAGCTCTATGCTTATAGTAAAAATTTGTATGTAGGATGGATGCAAGTTTTTGGTATTGGGAAAAAGAATACATCGATCTATTGATAGAACGAAATTGATAGATGCTCATGCACTCGTTGCTAGAATAGAAACTAGGGATGAGACTATATGTGAAGCAACGTCTATTTCTTTAGAATCGAACAAGAAAGAAGTATGCAAAATCGAGAAGCCGGAGATCAACAATGAAGACATCAAGAGGATACTAATCCAACTTGTGGGAGCAGTTATGAAAGTTGGATATCTTTTAACATGTCTAATTTTGGCTCTAGTTTGTTTGGTCTTGCTCATCTAGTCAAGAATTTGTGAATGTACTTCAATGTATGACAATATCGTTGATAAAATAATAAAAGAAATGCGGCCAAAAAATGTATATATACAGATATACTAGTTGGCCGTGGCGGACCAGATGTGTACGCGCGTTGGGTGCACGACCAGCGCATCCATGAAACCGCCCGACGCTGCTTCATTTCCTTATCCAAACGAACGAAATCCGGAAAAAATAGATGTTCACTTGGGTCGTGCATTGGAGTTGGCCTAACACCATCAAAAAATTCTCCAAGTGGAAACAATGAATCGGGGACCGATTCCTAGGGATGTTCAACCACACAAAATTCGCCTCGGCTGCCTTGGAGCATGAGATCGGTGGCCTTGCACCACCCACATAAACCACCACAATGAGCCGAAGCCCACGCTCCATGTCCAATCCATCAACGATGAGTGATGGAGGATATATGTCTCACTCCGGCCTGCGAGTGAAGATTGCCAAGTCCGCGTGAGAGGGATCTTGGGCGCAACTGGGGAGGACAACCGGGGCACCGCTAGCCATCTTCGCTAACGCTGGCCAACGGATCTCCCCCTTAGTCCAACTCCAACGCATGATCTTATCCTGTCCAGATGCGTCCGTTTGCGGTAAAACGGACAAACCAGACAGCTCAGCGTGCAGGCGCAAACGGACTTTTGTCCGTTTTATGTCCGCTTTCGACCCATCCTTGGTTCAAGTTTGGGCCGTTTTGGGGGTGAAACGGACATCGCGCGGACGGGCGGGACGCACGCGCTTGTCCTCCCCTGGGCCGCCCGTCGGTGGCACAAAGCGCCACCCCGGCGCCCTATTTCGCGCCATTTCCCCTCAAACCGTCCCACGCCCCGCCCACCACCCTCCCCGTCTATGGCCGACGCCCCAACGAATTCCGGCGGCCAGGCCGTCGACGCGCTCGGAAAGGTGAAGAAGAAGGCGGTCAAGGGTCCGAGGAAGCCGCGGTCGGAATGCACGCCAGCGGAGCTCATAAAGTTGGACGCGGAATCGGCTAAGAGGAGGAACCGGAGGGCGGTCGTCAAGGGCAAGAACGCCGCGGCCAAGTTCGCAGCCGAGCGCGATGCGGTGGAGGCTGCGCGGCGCAGGCCGAGGTCGACGAGGAGGATATCGTCAACAAAGCGCACGCGCTTCTCATGCTTGGGATTTGTCGTCCGGCGGGTTTCTGTGCAGCGGTCATCGGCCCGGCGAGCACAGGCTCGTCAGTCGCCAGGCCTCCGCATTGCCCCTCGCTGACGTCGCAGACCATGCCTTTGTCGCCCGGTTTTCCTCCGCCGAGGCACGATGGACAGACCCGTTTTTCGGGGTCGCCGGACGTTGGCATGATCGCGCCGTCCACCCCGCGCCCCTCGGTCGTCATCGACCTCAACGTCACGCCGATGTCCAGCAGCAGCGGCCGACCGGCCGTCGAGATGCAAAGAAAGCAAGCACGACCGCCGTCTACGGACACCATGTCGTCGCCCCGCGTCCTGTTCGACAAAATGCCAACACCAACACCAACGATCGACGACCCCTTCTACAACCAGTTCATGGAGAATGTCATCTTTGAGGGTGGGCATGGCTGTGCCTACGATCCCGACGAGACCCAAAGTCGGGATGGCCGCGCCCAGTACATTGCCGATGAAGAGGCCCACGACCATGCTGAGTACGACCATGGTGATTTGTGGCATGAAGATGATGACATTTATTGCGAAGGTGATGGTGATGGAGAAGAAGGCATTGATATTGGGGGCGAGCTATTGTTCATCGACAAGCTCACTCAAAGAGCGGAAGCACAAAAGAGAAAGAAGAGCATTCGTACGGGTTCATACTCACAAGAAGAGGACAAGTTGATTAGCCAAAGTTGGATGGAGATTAGTCAAGATACAAGGACCGATGCGCAATAAAAGGGACTTGTTTTTTGGACAAGAGTTCACAAGACATTCCATCAAAAAAAGTTGTTTGCGCCCTACCAATTTACGAGCGACCGTGGCATCACCTCGATTCAAAAGAGGTGGTTGTTCATCCAATAAGAATGCAACAAGTATTGTGCCGCACTTGAGAGCGTTGAAGCACGAACCGTGAGTGGTCTCGGCACTGGGGACATGGTATGCTCTCCTCATCCTAGTTCTTTCGTTGCTACGGCCACGAGACTTCGGCCTTCTATATGTTTGCATGTTCAATTGTTGTTGGTCGTGTAGGCATTTCAATCTTTGGAAGCATTAAAGTCCCGGCACAATGACAAGCTCTTCACTCTTACACATTGTTGGACGATCGTCAACAATTGCCCCAAGTTCAAAGATCAATACCGTGAACTTCAAAGGAAGAGAGGCAAGAAGACGGCCGCGTTGTCCGGAGGTGGAGATGGTTAGGCGTTGAAGAGGCCGAGGGGCAAGACCAACTCCAAGGTGCACGACATACGTGATGCGTCATCCATGGCCTATCATGAGACTTTGCATGATATGATGTCTCAAAAGGATGTGAGGGACGAGAAAAAGCGACAAAGCAAGGACGAGCAAATGAAGTAATACCTAGAGCTTCAAAGGAAAAAGCTTGAGATGGAGGAGGCGGCCAAGAAGAGGAAGATCGACATGAAGGAGGCGTCCCTGCAAAGGCAGCTCGACATCGAGGCCTCCAATGTCACATCTAGGCAGAGGCAGCTCGACATTGAGGCCACCAACGCTGCAACCAAAGCAAAGGAGGTGGCCCTAGAGATCATGAGCATGGACTTGAGCAAGATGAGCGAGAAGACGAGGAGCTGGTTCGAGGCCAGGCGGAAGGAGATGTTTGATGCCGACGGCCTGAACTAGGTCGTCTGTTAGGCCATGGCCGTTCTTTTGGAGCCTGGCATGGGTGCCGACCGCTGGGCCAATGGTTGTGTGCCGGCGAGAAACCTATCATTTTGGGGGCTGGCTGTGTTGCCGGCGACAAAACTATTCATTTTTTTGTAGGCTGGCTCTGTTGTCGGTGTTGGGAAACGTGGTAATTTCAAAAAAAATCCTATGATCAAGCAAGATCTATCTAGGTGATGCGTAGCAACGGGGGGAGAGTGTGTCCATGTACCCTCGTAGACCGAAAGCGGAAGCGTTAAGTAACGCGGTTGATGTAGTCGA